TTGGGCTGTAGATGTGGAAGGAGGTGGGGAGGGAGGGAAGGTGCTGAAGAACACTGGGATTCCTGGCCTGAAGGCTGGGATCAGACATCAGGAGCATGGGACATGGGGACAAAGGCTGACAGGATGCAGCAGGCCAGGCGGATGGAGATGGACAAAGGAGTGCGCTTCCTTCCAGCACAGCAGTGCTCATTGCCCTGGGCTATGTGGCTGTCCGTGTTCTCGCTGTACACAGTTGGTGCCCCAGCATCTTCCAGGGCTATACGGAAAGACTGCTTTTCTGCCTGTGAGGAGTCCTTGGCACAGCTTCCAAAGGCACCAGAAAGTGGGCATCCTTCAGCTCACATGACTAAAAAAGGGCATTTTCTCGGTTTGAAGGCTTGCCCAGCCCTTTCCCTCCTCCTCCCACCTGGGGTTTCAGGTTCCCAGGGAAGTGGCTCTAAAAAGTGTAGAACTTTGTCTCATACTCTTGTGTAGGCAAAAATAAGCCTGGAGATATGCAGGCAGCACACTCGGTTCTGACGTACAAAGCCATTCTCCTCCCCCTCGTTCACCACTGCCGCCATCACCCCGTCATCAGCATCATCAAGGCTAAACATTTTCACATGTTGTCTCTCACTTAGTTTTCACAGCAACTTCCTTCTTTCTTTCTTTCTTTTTTTTTTTGAGATGGAGTCTCACTTTGCTGCCTAGGCTGGAGTGCAATGGCACAATCTCGGTTCACTGCAACCTCAGCCTCCAGGGTACAAGTGATTCTTCTGCCTCAGCCTCCTGAGTAACTGGGGCTACATGCACGCACCACCACGCCTGGCTAATTTTTGTATTTTTAGTAGAGATGGGGTTTCACCATGCTGGCCAGGCTGGTCTCAAACTCCTGACCTCGTGACCCGCGTGTCTCGGCCTCCCAAAGTACTGGGATTACAGGTGTGAGCCACCGTGCCTGGCTCACAGCAACTTCAGGAGGGGAGAATTATTATCTCCACTTTACAGATGAAGTTGAGGCACAGAAAGGTAAAGCTATGCATGCACCCCAAGGTCCTAGAGGCCCAGTGGGGTGAGTGAGTGAGTGAGTGAAGGATCCAAGTGCAGGGTCCAATCCAGGCTTTATTAAAAATTTTCTTCATAGGTTGTTCATCAAGAATTTATCTTCCCATTAATTCTGACTTTTCAAAATATTGCATTAAAATATTATTTCTCTTGCTCACTGAGTTTTTTGGCAGCCCTGTAAATTTTGCCCCTGAAGTGAGTATCTCGGTCACTTACTCTGTCCCCAGCCTTGGCAGAACCAAAATTGGAATCCAGGGCTGCTGATTCCAAAACTATGTGCTCTTAACTCTTCCCTAGGCTGCCTCCTGGCCCCTGCACATGTGCACACCTGCATGCTGCTTTCAGTCATGCATTCATTCATTCAGTAAACATTACTATGGCAATATGGCACAGTGGAGAGGCAGAGGCTTGGGAATCAGACAGCTCCGGGTTTGGAATCTTACTCTGTCACTTGTTATTGAGTGGAGTCAAGCCTGTGTTTAGGATACAGACTCTGGATCCCAGAATGCCTTGGTTTGAATCCTTACTCTGTTACTTACTAGCCATATAAGTTTGGGTGGATTTTTTTTTCTTTTTGAGACATGGTCTTGCTCAGTTGCCCAGGCTGGAGTGTAACGGTGCAATAATAGCTCACTGCAGCCTCGACCTCCTGGGCTCAAGCAGTCCCCCCACCTCAGCCCCCTGAGTAGCTGGGACTACAGGCATGCACTACCACATCTGGCTAATCTCTTTTTTAAAAAAAATTTCTACTAGAGACAAGGTTTTGCTGTGTTGCCTAGGCTGGTCTTGAACTCCTGAGCTCAGGTGATCTTCCTGCCTCAGCCTCCCAAAGTGCTAGGATTACAGGCGCGAGCCACCACGCCAGCTTGGGTGGATTTCTTAGAACGCTCCTGTGCCTTGGATGCCTCCTCTGTAGAGACAGATGGTGGGAATAACATCTACCCTGTAGAGTTACTGGGGGGATTAAACAAGCTAATTTCTGTAAAGCCCTTGGCATGTGATAAGTTCTTTGTAAATGTTAACTCTTATTTTGTTTCCTTGAGCAAGATACCTTTCTGAACCTCAGTTTCCCCACCTGCGAAGTAGGGACAGGTAAATACTACCTCACTACCTCATAGTTTTGAGGTTTTTAGGGAATAAAAGGCCTGGTGCATAGAAGGAGCTTACGGGACTTTATCTCCCTTACTGTGAGACCAGTTCTTGGCTGGAGACTGAGATGAAGACACACACACATCAGCTCCCGAAGGAATTAACTCATCTGTAGGGAGTGGACACTGACTTTGTAGCTCCTTGAAGGCATCGAGCTCTTCCTCAGTCTCAGGGTCTTTCCATGTGCTCTTCTGTCTATCTGGCTCATTGACTCACCCACCTCTTATGGGCCTAATGTATGTGCTTCTTCAGGTCTCAACTCAAATGTCGACATCCTTAAGGAATCCTTCCCTGACCAGCCCACCCCCACCACCCACTGACATTAACTCTTTCTTTTCTTGTTTGTTTCTTTGTTTTGAGATGGAGTTTCACTCTTGTTGCCCAGGCTGGAGTGCAATGGTGCAGTCTTGGCTCACCGCAGCCTCTTCCTACCGGGTTCAAGAGATTCTCCTGCCTCAGCCTCCCGAGTAGCTGGGATTACAGGTGCACGCCACCATGGCTGGCTAGTTTTGCATTTTTAATAGAGAAGGGGTTTCTCCATGTTGGTCAGGCTGCTCTCGATCTTCTGACCTCGGTTGATCCGCCCACCTTGGCCTCCCAAAGTGCTGGGATTACAGGCGTGAGCCGCCGTGCCCGGCCAACATTAAGTCTTTCTGTTCTGCATCTTCATTGTATCCTCTCCTCCTCCTTCACAGCACATTTCACAGTTGTCATCAGGTACTTATTATCTAATCGCATTTTATTCAGTAGTTCTTGTGTTTGTTTACTATCCAGCTCCCTCAGCTGACAGTGGCCTTTCTGGTCCACAGAGTCTCTGCCCTCAGTTCCTGGCTGTGCTCGGCTCCTGGCACAGGCTCTGGCACGTGCTCTGCTCCTGGCACAGAGCAAGCTTGTCTAACCCGTGCCCGTGGGCCACATGCAGTCCAGGATGACTTTGAATGCAGCCCAACAGGAATTTGTAAACTTTCTTAAAATGTTACAGGATTCTTTTTTGTGATTTTTTTTTTTTTTAAGCTTCAGCTATCGTTAGTGTTAGTGTATTTTCTGTGTGGTCCATGACAATTCTTCTTCCATTGTGGCCCAGGGAGGCCAAAAGATTGGACACCCCTGTTCTAGAGTTACATTGCCTGGGTTCAAAATCCCAGCTCCTGCACTTCAGGACTCTGTGACCTTGGGCAAATTGGTTAACCTGTTTGGGCTTCAATTTTCTTTTCTGTAAAATCGGGATAATAATAACAGCAACAGCTTCCTAAGGCATTAGAATAATCATATGAGATAATCTTCATAACTCCTTTAGAACCATGCCTGGCCCATTCGGAAACTGGACTGTTATTACTTTAGTAGGTACCTCTGTGAGCTAAGTCTCACTGGGCTGACAGCTGAAACAGACATCTCCCAAATCTCAGGTACTTAACAATGAATGTTTAAGATTTGCTCCTGTCACATGCAACTGTGGGGCTGTGGGAAGGGGCTTTGCTCTGTGCAATCATTGATGGGCTGAGATTTCTTAACTTGAACTCCACAGGAGGTTCTGTGGATGGATTTCAGGGGTACGTGAACTTGGATGGTTTCAGTTAGATTCCCTAGAAGTAGAGCCTGAAATGGGGATTCTTATGTAAGTGATTTATTGAGGGAGGCTTCCAGAAGAGAGGAGAATGAGATGCAGGATGGCATAGGGAAGGAGCAGAACAGAGATGTGATCTCAGCTGGAGACCTGCTTCAGCCAGTCCACCTGGGGCCCTGGAGTGTGGATTGTAGCTGCCGCAGCTGGAGTTCCTTCCTCTTGGGGCAAGAGGAGGCTGACCATTGTCAGTCATTGATGTGGGCTGCCTGGGTTTAGGGGTAAGCAGGGCAGTATTTTAACTTCTGGAACAAGGTGGCTTCTATGGGCTACAAGTCTCTGGGGTAGTAAGGAGTCATTAGCAGCCAACACTCACATCAGCCAGGGGTGGGCACATTTGCCCAGTGAAGGGATCTGTGTAGGGCACCAAAAGTGCCCACTACAGATGGGAAAAGCTACATCTATATTTTTGTTAACTCTAACTGCAATTTAGCCTTCTCTTCAGTTGTGGAAATAGGCAGTAAATCATAATAGTACTAGTAGTAGCTGTGACTTTGTCACTAATAGCAATCTCACATTTTCATGTCATATTACATGTTGTATTTAGATATCCTTGAAATATCCTTTATACTAATGTATACTTTAAAATTATAGTAGTTAATAGACTTGATATTTTGTTTAATGTGATAAATAAGGATATAGATTATTATATTACAAATGTGTTCTTTTAAATATTTTGGAAACAGTATGTCAAGTAACTGCATCCTTTTGTAATCCTATGTGTTTTATGTATTTGAAAACATTATTCTGAGAAGGGATCCATAGGCTTCATTGCACTACCAAAGGAATCTGTGACACAGAGGTTAAATACCCTGTTCTGGGGCCTCAGCTTGCTCTGCATTCAACCAGCAATGCTGGGGAAAAACAAGAAGGCATAGAGGTTTTTATAGGTCAAGCCTGGAAATAGCATACATGATATCTTCCCACAATGCATTGGCCAGAACTCAGTCACCTGACCACACCTAACTGCAAGGGAGGCTGGGAAATGTAGTCTATCTCTGTGCTCAGAAGAGGAAATGATCTGGAGAATACACAGCAGTCTGGGCCATGAGGCTCAATAAGTATTCATTGACTGCCCGAGTGAATGAATGCTCTGTTTAGCACGTCTCTTTGTGGGTTAGGGAGAAGGGCCAGAAGGCTGGTTCTCTGGAAGGATCCTGAGTCTTCTGCCACATTGTCTCCATAGGACAAGCCACGCCAAGGCCAAAGCTGAGGCAGCGGAACAGGCTGCAGTGGCTGCCAACCAGGAGTCCAACATTGCTCGCACTTTGGCCAGAGAGCTGGCTCCGGACTTCTACCAGCCAGGTAGGGCCAACCAGGGAAGGATGGGCAGGGTAGAGCTTTCCCTGGGGTGGGTGCTTTTCTTTGCTTGCTGGAATCTGAGATGCCCAAGTGGTTTCCTGGATGCCCGTGAGTCTCGGAAACTGGGGTGTTGTGCAGGTATGGGATGGGATGATGCAGGGAGCTCGTGGGAGGGCAGCAGAGGCATGCCAGGTCTTTTCTCTCTGCTCTGAGCAGGGAAGATAGTTGGAGCTGGTGAAGCTTAGAGGGGAGACATCACTGGTGGATGAGAGGGGAAAATGGCTTCTTGCACTTGCCCAATAGTTTCAGTCGAGCATTGAGCACTGTCCATATGTCAGGCACTGTGCCAGGCTCTAGGGGTACATAAGTGGGGTCCAAAATCTAGGCAGAGAGTCAGAAAAACAACAAAGCTAGGGGTACAATAAATGGACTCTGCGTTCATTCAAATCCTGATTCCACTGCTTCCCAGCTGTGAGACTTTGAGTGAGGTGTTTAACCTCCATAAACCTCAGTTTTCTGATCTGTAAAATGGGAGTAAGAATCGTACCTGTTTTTTTGTGCATGGATTAAATGCATGTAAGGTACACGCCCAGTCCTCAGTAAGCTCTCAGTGACTGTGGCTGTTGTCTCACGATTATGGTTCCATTTCATATAGCAGGATGAGCGCTGTGCGGTTAGAATGGGAGCAGGGGGAGCTCGCAGGAAGCACTTAGCCCACTTAGGCAAGAGGAGGTGTTAGAGAAGGTTGCCCTCAGGAGAGGCCATTTGAGCTCAGTCTTGAAAACCGAACAGAGCCTATCAAGTCAGTGGGTCGTAAATTTGACACAGATTGCTGGGCCCACCTCTCAGAGTTTCTGACTCAGTAGGTCTCAGGTGGAGCCTGTGAATGTGCATTTCTAAGGATCAGGCGATGCAGATGCAGCTGGTCAGAGACCAGACTTTGAGAACTGCTGCACCAGATAGTGCTGGCTGGGATGGGTGGAGGAAGCACAAAGGCACAGAAACTGTCAGAGCAGCATGCCAGGAAGCTAGATCACAACGTAGGCTGTGGGTGCTGAGAATCGAGGCTGCAGGGTAAGGAGGACCTCCTGGCCTTGGTAGAGATCTTGCACATGGATAGAGTGGTGGGAGCCCCTGAGGGACAGAGATCGGCGTTCTCTGCAATGAAGGGTTTTTAAGTTAACGACATAATCAGATGTGTGTTTTCTAAACGTGATCCTGGCTGCAGAAAGGAAGCCAGATGGATAACTTAGGAGCGAAGACCTGTGCCCGGAGGATCCCTCACTTCTGGTCCCAGCGCTCCCCCTGCTGGTCTATGCCTGTGCAGGCACTGAGCTCCACCTTTGACAGGCATTTTCTCAATCCTTCCACTCGGATTTATGAAATAAGTTATGATCAGCCCCATGTTTCAGATAAGAGAATGGAAAGAGACGCGTGCCATAGTAAAGGGCATTACCTCTGGAGCCTGACTGCTGGGTACTAGTCCTGGCTGTGCCCTTTGGCAGCTGTGTGACTTTGGGCAAGTGATTTAACCTTTCAGAGCCTCCCTTCGAGGTTCACAGTAGCATCAGCTTCATAGAGTTACTACAACAATTAGATGAGTTAATATTTGGAAAATGCTTAAAACAGTGCCTGGCACTTGGTCAATGCTATGTGAGTGCCAACTGAGTCCATGAATGAGGCTCTAGAGCCGAAGCGGCTGGCGCGGGATCACCCAGCAGTGGTGTGGGGTTCGAGCCCAGCCTCCCTGTGTTGCCCCTGGCAGGTCCGGAATATCAGAAGCGCCGGCTGTTGCAGGAGATTCTGGAGAACTCGGAGAGCCTGCTGGAGCCTCCCGACCGGGGCGCAGGTGCAGCGGGCCTCCGGCCGCCCCGCGAGAGCCCGCAGATACACGAGCGCGAGACCCCTCGGCCCGAGGGTGGCCCCCCATCACCGACCGGGACGCCCCCGCAGCCCAAGCGGCCCCGGCCTGGGGCATCCAAGGACGGCCTGCTGGGCCCGGGCGCCTGGAACGGCGAGCCCAGCGGCGAGGGCAGCCGGCCAGCCACTCCGTCCGAGGGCGCGGTCCGCCGCAGTCCCACGCGTCCAGCTACCGAGCGCATGGCCATCGAGGCTCTGCAGGCGCCGCCCCCGCCGTTGCGAGAGCCGGAGGTGGCGCTTTACCAGGGCTACCACAGCTACGCTGTGCGCACCACACCGCCCGAGCCCCCGCCCTTCGAGGACCAGCCCGAGTCCGAGGTCTCCGGGTCCGAGTCCGCGCCCTCATCCCCGGCCACTGCCCCGCTGCAGCTGCCCACGCTCCGAGGCCCTGAGCCCGCGCTCGAGACCCCTGCCAAGCTGGAGCCCAAGCCCATCGTCCCCAAAGCCGAGCCCAGGCCAAAGGCCCGCAAGACTGAGGCCCGAGGGCTGACCAAGGCCGGGGCCAAGAAGAAGGCACGGAAGGAGGCAATGCTGGCGGCAGAGACAGAGGTGGAGGTGGAAGAGGTGAGGCTGTCGGGGAAGGCGTGTCTATGGTCGGGTTCCCTAGAGGTAGCCGGCTTTGAGGCAGGATTCAGGTGCAGGGGATTTGAGGGGTGCTGGGGTGCGAGAGATGGAAGCAGATAGAGTAGGGGGAAGTGCAGCAGGGCTGGGGATTAGTGGAGTGTGGCCTTGGCCACAGCACTTTGGAGGATAAATGGCCCCACGGAATCCTCACACCTTGAGGCAGGTACGTTTATACCTGGTATCCCATTGGCTGAGGCAGTTCTCATGAGCAGGGGGCAGTTGGGAGCCTGAGCAGCTGGAGGGTGGGTGCATTTGCCCAGTCGGGGGGGTTTGGGGTGGGCGCCAGCAGCATCTGCTACAAGATGTAGCAGGGAGGGCTTCCTGGAGGTAGAGGAAGGGCCCAATGGACCTCCTGACTTATGGGAGGCAGGGAGCTAGGCTCGGCGGCAAAAAAAAAAAACTGAAGCTGGGCTTTGAGGGACTGAAGAATGCGTCCCAAGGGGAACTAGTAGTAAAGAAGGCAGGATGCAGGGGTTCCAGGCCTGATCTGGTTATTTCCAAGAGTCCTTCCAGCTGTGATGGTCTGCTGGCTGAGTGACAGGACACAGCAGTGAATAAAGCCGGCAATGCTCTTAGGAAGGCCCATCCAGAAGTTCCTGCTCTGGCCAGCCTTGCTGTGACCTGGGTGGGGGTGTCTCAGAGGCCATGGGGACTCAGGCAGCCTCTCTCACTGCTCCCAGGTCCCCAACACCATCCTCATCTGCATGGTGATCCTGCTGAACATCGGCCTGGCCATCCTCTTCGTTCACCTCTTGACCTGACCTTTGCCTACCAGGTGCGGCCAGCCGGCTGGAGGAGAGGCGGGGGGCGGGAGCCCCCGGGGAGTTCTGAGCACCAGGGAGGAGGGACCTACTTGGTACTTGGATGACAGTCTTGTGACTAATTGAGGCCCACCCACCAGCAGAAGCCAGGACCTAGAGTGTGGTTTGATAGATCATGCCCTCCCCAATACACACAGACACACAGACACACAGACACACACACACACATAGAGTCTCTCTCTCTCTCTCTCTTCATTAGTTCAGTGTTTGCAGAGCACCTGCTCTCTGTCAGGTGAGCACTGAGGGCTTCATTCATTCATTCATTTTGCCAACATGTACTGCTCTGCTGGAAGCTGGGGGTCCAGCACAGACTCACTCCTGCCCTAAGAATGGGGTGAACACAGTGAAAGTGACCCTCAACTTAGAACTCACTACAGAAAAGTCTTGCAGTTCAAACAAGCACAACAGGTCTAGGCTGAGCTCAGCTGGGATGGTGGGATGCCCATTTCCATGCTCGCATTCTCTCTTCCCCACTTCAGTCTTTAATCCCTTGGCCTCCCAGCCTCCTCCCGTTCCTCTGCCCATTGGCTTCTCCCCATGATGGAGCTAGGGGCTGGGGTAAGTTCCCGTGAAGTGCAGGGGGCTGGGCTGAGCTGAAGGAGAGTGGCCCTCACTGCTTTCAAGATGAAGTATCTGCAAGACAAAGAAAATCTTCTCCCTGCTGGAACCAGCCTTCACAGCCTCAATCTCATGCTTGGTGATAATAATGGGGTTTCTGCCTCTTCCCCAGACCCTCTTTTTTGATGCGAGCTTAGTTTGGGCTGGAGGTTCTTAATCTGTCCCATGACAGTCTGTGCTGTCACCATGTAAACAGTCAATGACAACACTAACCTGGTAGGTGCTGCCCTGGGGGTGAACGCTTGAGCTCTGCAGGTTCCATGTTTCTCAGGGGCTCTGGGAAAGCTTCCTGCAGGCACTGATTCCTTTATTATTTTTTTAAAGTTCCCTTGGGCCTATTTTATTTATTTATTTTTTTAAGACGGGGTTTTACCATGTTGGTCAGGCTGGTCTTGAACTCCTGACCTCAGGTGATCTGCCCGCCTTGGCCTCCAAAGTGCTTGGATTACAGGCGTGAGCCACCATGCCCGGCCAGCACTGATTCCTTTAATAGCCTGAAGGGTGAAAAGGAGTGAACCGGATGACAGCGGGGGAGGAGGAGGGAAGGGATGAGCGCACCAGCAAAGGGAACAGTATGTGCGAATAAACAGAGCCAGGCAGCCAGGGCCAGGAGAGGCCTTGGGATCTTGTTTGTGACCTGCTGAGTATCAGAACCAAGGGACAAGACTGTCTGGAGGGATGCAGAAGTGGGATCTTGCCCCAGAGAAGATGAGCCCTGAGGCTTGAGCCCTGCACCTGACTTGGCAGCCCAGCCTCCACCCTCCCTCCCTCACCTGACCCTTTTGCTGTCTCTTTGCAGAGCCAGAAGTTCCTGCTGAGGACATGAGGACCGTCCTTTTGCAGTGCCAGGCAGGGTGGCCAAAGAGGACTGGACTCTGGACCCAGAGCCCCACGGTCCGGCTCACATTCACCCCACAAACATTTCAGGAGGTCTCCCATAGCGCCTGTGCCTGGTGGTGGTGGTGTCAAGAGGAATGAAGTGTAATGGCAGCCTCCAGGAGCTCTCTGCCCAGGGCAAGGAGGGCCCAGAGAGAGGCACCCTGGTCTCTTGAGCTTCCTGAATTGCTCCTGTCCCCCGTCCTCCTCCACTCCCTTGTCTTTCCCCTAGGTTGTCCCCTCCCTGGGCTTTTGTGTGTTTTAGATGTCACCTAACCAGGATGTTAATATTCACTCCCACCCCCTTTCACCCCACCCTCCCCTTCCTCCCACGCTGCCCCACTTTGATTTAATCCTTTGTCTGTGGACTGAAGCCTCCCAGGGAAGCTGGGTGGGATGGGTGCTGAGACCCCCTCAGACCAGCACAGAGGCCTGTCCTTGTGCAGTCTGTGCCCTGCACTCTCTCCCTTGCCTGTGGATGTTCTGGGTGACAGTAGAGGAAATGGACAAGGTCAGTGTGAATATCCCAGAACCCTGTGCTCTGTCTCCTCCCACCAGTCCAGTTAGCTTCCCTTCTGAACCAATAGACGAGAGAGACCCGACAGAGCCTCTGGCTGGGAGGCTGCTGACTAGGTGGCCGGGGGCGGGGGCGGGAAGAGGGGTTAAGGCACAGAGATGATGGTCTGTTTTCGAGTGTGTCTGAGCCTGAGGCTGGGATTGCATTTGGGGTTTCCCGTGTGCTTGGGATCCTAGAGGGTCACCTGCAGGAGCCCTGGAGCTGGCGAGAGAAAGCTCCTGTGATGTGTGAAATGGCTTGTCTCCTTCCCCACCCGGGCCCACTGAAGGCTTGCGGAGGGGGCCACAGAAGCCCACGGAAGTCCAGGGAGATGTCCCTGGGGCACACTCAGGCAGACACCAGTTGACAAGGAGACAGGCTGCTTGTCAAGGAGCATTTCCCAGCAAGAGAGGAGCAAGTCTGGGACTCCTCCTGGGTGCAGCCCGGGTGCAGTTATAAGCCCCTTTGGCTTACTTGGCAGAAGACAGCTACTTGCATGTACCTCACTTAAAGACGTTTTCTACCGCACTAGGTCTCTGGGCCCTTGTGTTTGCTGGGGGTGGGGTGAGGCCAAAGGCTATGCTTTCCTGCCTCCAGGAGGATGGAGGGAAAGGGTTTCCAGGACCCTCCAAGCCTGGGGAAGAACGTGGCATACAAGCTGAGCCAGAGGGGACTGCTGCTGTCCTCCTCCGTTTCTGTGGACCTTGGGAGCTTTTGGCTTTGTGGTAGGGCCTCCCCAGGCAGCTCTGGGACCTGGGAGTTTGCTTCTGATGGGGTCTGCTTTCCCACGTCCCCTCAATGCTTGGAAACCTCCAGCTTCACACTTGCCGTTTCAAGCCCTGCTGGGACCTTGTGGCTTGGCTGGCATCCAGGACTGCATTTCCATGGAGAAGAACCTGCAGATTCTTCCACCCTCAGTCGGCCATGGCCCATGGCTCTGCGTCTGTGTCTGAGCCTCTTGGGACTCCTGGAGCATGAGTGGAGTGGGCCGGGGGCACTGCTCAGTGCTAACAGGCTCCAGGCTCAGGATCGGAGATTCTTGTCCTGTTTTTTTTTTTCTTTTGGCCTGTGCTGGGGACAAGCCTGTGCCTGCTGAAGCTCCCAGGCCTACTGTGGGGGCTGGTGTTTGGGGTGGGGGTTCAGGACGCTGCAGTCTGTGCAATAATAAACCTGCATCTGCTCATGGGCTCTGGCTGGGCTGCAGCGTGCTTGTGGGCCCAGGATGAGGGGCTGGCTGAAGGAGGGTGGGTGGGAAGAGGCTGGGGGATGTGGGTCCTGCCCGTCAGTGTCCTCATTCTCACGACACTTGAGGGGCAGCTGAGGGGTTTCAGTTTGAATGAAAGCTCAAAGGCCACAGAGCTTCCACAGTGGAGTTTCCAAAGCAAACTTCCAGAAACTTCTGTGAGTAGCTGACAGTAGAATCAAGAGCCTGCCCTTTGAACTGGAGTCCCCCCAGGCTCCAATCCTAGCTTGGCCACTCTCTTCACTTATCTGAGCCTCAGTTTCCTCATCTATAAAATGGGGCTAACAACAGTGCCTACCCTCCCGGTAGTGGGGATTATATTAGTTGTTAAGGCTTATGGGAAGCCCAGCGGTGGAAAGCAGTGAGGAATAGGTGGGTGTTGTTACTGTTATCACACTACAGTGCTGTTAGCTCTGCTCCAGCTCTCTGGCGTTTTTATAGAGGATCCCAGCAACCCCAAAGGGGTGGCGGTGATTCAGATACTGGTTGCTTCGTTATAGACTATCTCCATCAGTGCGGGACCCTGATGTGATCTCCACACTCTACAGAGGCTTGGAGCAGAGGGACTTGCCCAAGGTCACGCACACAGCAAGTCGGTGGCAGGAAAGCTGAGGTCTCTTGACTTTCTAGGAATAAGCACTGCCCGTGAAGTTTCTCTCAAGCCCGTGGTCCCCAGCGAGGGGGTTGGAGGGTCGGGTTCAGGCGCACCCTGTCATCAGGAGCCTGGCTCCTCCACAACCCCAACCCTACCAATGATGGGCTGTGTGTCCCCTCACTCCCTCTTTCCCTGCCTCAGTTTCCTCTTCTGCTGAGGAGACTAATCCCTGTCCCACGGTCTTCTTCCTAGGCAATGCAGTTGTGAAACTCAAATGAGAGAGATTCCAGTGATAAAGAGGTTTTAGGCTGGGCATCATGGCCCACACCTGGAATCCCAGCATGTTAGGAGGCTGAGGCAGGTGGATCACTTGAGGTCAGGAGTTCGAGAACCCTGTTTCTACTAAAAAAGAAAATACAAAAGTTAGCCAGGTGTGGTGGTGGGCGCCTGTAAACCCAGCTACTTGGGAGATTGAGACAGGAGAAGCTCTTGAACCCGGAAGCAGAAGTTGCAGTGAGCTGAGATTGAGCCACTGCACTCCAGCCTGGGTGACAGAGCAAGACTTCATCTCAAAAAGCTAAAAAGGTTTTCAAAACTCCAGAACGTCCTGGGATCCCAGGTAGGATGGGCTTGGAGGAACCACAGGAGGGGCGGGGGTGGGAGTAGGGATAAGGGAATTGTTTTAATCTGTAGACTTTGATAAAACCTACAGAGGGAAAGCAGGTGGGCAGCCAGCCCAGGTAGCCAGTCTGCAGACGAGGTGTGGGGTGTGTGTGTGTTAGTGTGTTAGTGTGTGTTAGATGAGTTGGGGTCGTGGGTGACTGTAGTAAACTCACTTTGGATGGTTTGAAAAGGAGGCGGCTTCCTGAGCCCCAGGATTGGAGACTCAGCCAGGTGGGGTTGGTGAGAAACAGCACCCCCTTTTGGCTCAGGCGTAGGACACAGCCTGGCTGATGCCCCCTCTTCCAGTCTTGACCACAGGCAGCTCTAGGAAGTCTGATGGGTCTCCTGCCATGCCCTGTATGCATTTAAAGTGTTTTTTACCACGCGTGAACTTAAGAGCATTGCTGGCCCACTGCCTTGAGGTCTCTGCAGGATTTTTCCAGGACAGTGAAAGGGAGGGAACCTAGGAACTATAGGAGTCAGATGTGGGATTTGGGCAAGAAGGGAAGTTTCATAATCTGATGGACCCACAGAAGATCTGGCTGTTCTGGGAGAGATGCAGGCCCAGATGATGACCCTTGGAGGTGCCAAGCCTGAAAAAGTAATATGAGGATGCTCTCCCCCAAATAAGTTACTCAAAATAAAAATAACACTTAAACTGTAAGACATAAAACTTGCATGTATGCTGAAATTAAAATAGCTCTTAGGGTCTTGCTTTGTGCAAAACTCTGTCTATGCTTATGGAGGCTGAAGTTTCCCCTCCCTCGCGCTCCCTTGGTCCATCTTGCTGGTACACTCAATGGAGTCAGGTGGCTGTGGGTCAGGCCCCGTGCTAAGCCCTTCACCTCCTGTACGTGGTGGCAGAACAGCTGTGTGGCTCACCATATGGTTGCTGGTTCAAATCTTGGCTCTGTCCCTTAACATCTATGACTTTCTTTCTTTTCTGGGGGTGCTGACTACCTAGTGTTACCTGCCTCTTCAGAATGAAAATATGAATGCAGCACTTAGAGAAATTCTTAGCATGGTGCGAGCAGATGGTAAATGCCCTGTTATTTTCTATTTTTGGAATATCTCCATGGTATAGGTATTCATCCACCCATTTTGCAAATGAGGAAAATTGAGCCTCAGGGAGATGGAGTGATTGGTTCCCGGTGAGGGAGGGACAGAGCTGTGATACCTAGAGCCTGTGCCCTTTGACAGAATCACACTGCTCCGACCATCCCATCACTGCAGACGAGCCAGCTGAGGGGAGATGCTACGCAATGGGGATGTGGCAGGGGCCATTCGTCTATTGGATACGAGTGGATGCGATGATTCAGAATTCCTAAAGGAGCTCAGGGAAGGAAGGAGGGGGTCTCCGAAGAAGCTTGAGGAAATAACGCCTTAGGCTGTCAGAGATGGAGGCACTCTAATGTATCAGCTCATCTGGTTCCTTGTTTTTCATATGGGGAAACAGGTCTAGAGAGAGTGGAGTGTTGTAATTTCTAAGGATCACACAGCAAGTCAGTGACAGAGAAAGTCAGTGAGAGAGCTGGACTGAGCGGGGGGCGGGGGTCACATTTTGTCTGCAGACCAACTGCTGGTGAGACCCTCATATAGGAAAACAAATGCCAGGGCGCCCCACGTGTCAGCATTCACCATTCTCCCAAACCTGTTTTGCCCAAATCCCCACTTTCCAGTTTTTTTTTTTTTTTTTTTTTTTCTTTGAGACGGAGTCTTGCTCTGTCACCCAGGCTGGAGTGCAGTGGTGTACAGTCGCTTCTTAGTGATCTTTTAAAGCTATTTACATCTTGAGGCTGTAAAGTCAGCAAAGTCTGAGGGGACAATCTCCACAAGGCTGCTTTCCCTTCAGACACAAGTTTGGTGGTCTCTAGGGCCACCATCACTTCCTACTGACTGGCTACAAACAAGGGGTTCCTGTGACTACCCTCAGACTCAATAATTCACTAGAAAGACTCACAGGACTCACTGAACTCTACTCAAGTCACGTTTATTACAAGCAAACAATGTGAATCAGAACCAGCCAAGGGAAAGGGACATGGGGGTAACCTGAAAGGGTTCCAAATGCTAAACACCCGTGTCCTCAGGATCTATTACTTTGCCAGTATTGATAAGTAACAGCAGGACAAAGTATGGCCAACCGGGGAAGCTAAACAGTGCTTCAGTGTCTAGGGTTTTTATTGGGACCTCATGATTTAGAGGTGATTGATTGAATCATTGCCCACATGGTTGAACTTAACCTCTGTACCCCTCCTCACACCCATAACCCAAAGCCTCAATCCTCTAACCTCATGGTTGATTTTTCTGGCATGGCCAGCACTCACCTTAACCCATATTGTGGGCACAAACTGTGAGGTGTGGTCCCAGGAGCCCACCATGAATAACAGACACTCCTGTTAATCAGGATATCCTAAGGGTTTAGAAATTACTTCCCAGGAGCCAGGCCAAAAACCAGATCTCTGTCTAAGACCCAGTCCCTAACTACACAACCTCGTATCTCTTCCTGTCTACAGTTTCTCCACTAGACTGAGTTCCTTGAGAGGGGAGCTATCTGATTCTTCTCCATTTCCACGCATTAGTTAGTGTAAGCTTGCTGAGGTGATAGGCGCCACAGTTTATAATTGCTATACACAATATAAGTTTGTCATAGAACAGCATAGAACAGCTGTCCCTCATCACAGTGATTCAGAGACCCAGGTTTTTTCCATCTGTGGTTCTACATATCCTAGGGCCCTGTTGGTCTCTGCATGTGGCCAAAGGAAAAGGAAAGATAGTATGGAGGACGGAATTTGCTTCCTAAAAACCTTCACCAGGAAAATAGCACACATCACTTCTGTTCATATATCACCAGCCAGAGCTCAGCTGTGTGGCCTCAACTGGCTTCAAGGGAGGCTGGGAAATATGGACTACCTGTGTGCGCAGGGAGAAGAGAAGGATGTGCGTTTTGGTGCACAGGCAAGACAGTACAGCCTCTGCTACCATCCCCATTGTCCCACTTAGGTCTTGGGCGGAGTAGACATTTGGTGAGTGCTTATTGAGGAAACGGATATGGTGGCCCTATGAGGCAGTATGGTGGGGGACGACTCCATATGTAGATGGGGATGGGTTGGGGCTTTAGAATTGGACAGACCTGGTTTCTAATCCTGACTATATCACTTCCTTACTGCAAGTGGAAGATCCCATCACTGATTAGATTCTGCAGGAGCAGACACTGAGTTCACCTAGGCTGCAAGATATTTATTAGGGATCAAAACCTGTGAGAGGAAGGAGGAGAATGCAGAGGAAGAAGTCTAACTTGATGCAGGCCTGACAAAGTCCAACCCAGCAGGAGCCCCAGAGCAAGGACTGCTTGTAGAGCATCTCCCATTTGGCTTTTATACCCCTGCCTTGCTCAGTTACTGGGTGATAGGGTTTGGCTATGTCCCCATCCAAATCTCATCTTAAAGTCCCACGAGTTCTGGGAGGGACCTAGTGGGTGGTAATTGAATCACAGGGGCAAGTCTTTCCCATGCTGTTCTCGTGATAGTGAATAAGTCTTATGAGATCTGATGATTTTAAAAAGAGGAGTTCCCCTGCACAAGTTTTCTCTCTGCCTGCCGCCATCCATGGAAGACGTGACTTGATCCTCCTTGCCTTCCGCATGACTGAGGCTTCCCCAGCCACTTGGAACTGTAAGTCCGATTAAACCTCTT